TATGACTAGTTCATCTCTATTGGTTACTTGTTTAATTGTCCCAAATTAGTCTATTTTGAAGTCTAAAGGAAAATCTGCAATCTGCCTATTTGGTTTAAAGTGATAACACACCCTAAACCTTGTTTCAGCAATTGCAGCTGCTGATCTAAACACTTACCTAGTATGCTTCTTCTTCCTGTGTTAAAACTTGCCTCTCCTCAAGTTGTATCTGGTCCCCTGGTTGCTGGCCCCACTGTCAGGTTTTAGTGTGGCTCCTTTCTCTTGCAGGGTCCTATATAGCCACCCTATTGTGCACACTGTCATTTATAGGAACTTATGTAATAAAGCTAATTACTATGTAATAAAGCTCTTCACTATTTCCACTGGATTTAGAACTTCATTACTTCATTGTTTGATTGCACTTTGATTTTTATTTATATGAGATTTTTTCACAATTATTTTGTTTCAATATATTCACATGTGTTGCATGTTTTGTGATTATATACATATTTTGATATGGTTTATACATATTTCTGTCACACAACTCCTATACTTTTATGATCATTCTTTTGAGCTCGGCACATCTTACTATCTATGTAATAAAGCAGCCATCACTGACAAGCACAGACAGCCCAAGATGAAAACTGGAGATGAGAACCGACCCCTCTAGCTCCTCCTACCTAGGACATGGACAGACAGCCCGATATGAATACATGTCTTCACTTCCTCCTATTAGGAATTTGATTGACAGTGGCTCTGAGGTTGCGTTGTCACTTTAACAATTAACTTTTTCATAACAAACAATCTTATTGTATATTGTGTGTCAGCACGCAGGCAGCATCCTTAGGTCAGTGAAATGTCATCAATAAAGGGGCACTCTGGCACAGTGCATGATGGGATATGTAGCCCAGAGTTATGCGATAGGGTGGTTATAGTTACATTTAGAGATTGCACTCCCTGACCGAAAGTACATGTAAGCTGTAAAGAGGAACACTGAGAATGCAGCTGTAAACATATACAGATGTGAGTCTTTCTGCACTTTTCAGAAAGGAGTGGTTTATTGCCCTGTGGTAAGTTCCTCTATATCAATGTGTTCTGGCTAAAAGTAATGAGGCTTTAGTACTTCTTTTGCCTGGATTCCTACTTGCGAGTTCTCAGGTATTTTTCAGGCATTACTTAAAAAACATTTCTGTGGATGTATACACGCATTTGTAACTGTTTTTGAGCATTTTACGTCTTTAACTCCAATGGAAACAAGCGAAATCTGTGACATCTTGCAAATATGCATGAAACACACTAAAACAAATTTCAGAAATTGCTTGTTATGATAATTTTAGGGCATTTCCTCTCCATTTCCCTCTTTGGGCCAAAACCACTACAAGTGACAGAATACTTAGGTGTGAGCAGGGCCATAGAAAACAATGGGATTCCTTGTGTTGAGCGTTTTGTAGATCGAAGCTACAGAATGCTAGTTTTTTTATAGCATGCTGACATAAATGTGACTCTAATGAGACTTCCTGAGGTGAGAAAAGTCAATTATTACTATGGGGGGATCTTAGCAAAAGGGTCTCATTAGTTCTGTTTACAAATAAAAAAAAAGGAAGTGTTTTTTCCACAAATATTCCAGTCAAAGTCGGACAATCAGTGAATTGTGGTATTTTTTGTTTTTTTTATTAGGACAGGAAGGGGTCCTTTGAGGTCTGGTTCAGCACCATCATTAATAAAAACAAAACAGGATAGTAATTTTATTGTAACAATACATTTCTGCACATTTGGAGGACATATCTCCCTAATGATAGATCTGTTTCTTTAAGAGCAGGGTTTTATTTTCAAATTTGTATAGTGCCAGTTGAGGAAAAATTTTTAATTGACTCACGTCCCTATTGGTTAATTAGTTAATACCCCCGATATTAAAGCCTGGTAGTTAAAACTTATACAAGATTTTAGTGATTGGATTTACATCTGTTCTAGGTATTATCTATTAAATGTCAAACTGTACTGTTACAGATGCTGGGGTCATTAGGAATTAGAATAAGCGTCTTTTAATGCCAAAGTCTTATACAAGACAAATGACATTTATATATCAATGGTTAATGGATAATTATATAAGGAAGCATAGAGAAATGTATTCAAAAACACTGCATGTATGACATCAGTTGTCTTGATGACCACACAAGGATTGAGGTCAAATGTTCCCAGTAAGAATAGGCAGCTGTAAAAGTCTGACAGAAATTCAATTTTTGAATTGCTTTCCTTATCACAGCTTGAGTGATTTTCCCTTATTTCCTGTCCTGGTTACAAAATAGGAATGAGGAAAACAGGGTGTATCTTCTCACAGGACACACAGACAACAATTATGGTGTACGAATAGGCAAGACTTTTTTTGTAAAATGTTGGACTCCCTATCAATTCCTGTATTGGTGGCACTGCTTTCCAGGACATATAGACTGGGAACAAGGATCCTAATCCTTCCCCAGTCTTCCAAAACAAATTGATAATTGTATAGCTTATTTTTTTTACTAAGGTGATAATATTACAGCATTACAGTACATGCATTATCAGAAAAGAAAAGGAAAATAAGTATATAAAGTATTTAAAGGCCTTACTGGTACTTCTGGCAGTCCAACAGGGCTCTCCAACAGACAGCCAAGTCTTCTCTAAATAAACATAATGAATAATTAAAAGCTTTAAAGAGATTGAAAACATATTTCGGAAGTATATTGACATGTTAAAGCTGATTAGACATTTTAGTGATTGGGTTTACATCTATTAATGCAATATATATACCTTACACACACACACACACACACACACACACACACACACACAGTATATACCTATTACAAATGTTATACAACAAGTAACAAAGATTATCAGTGCAAAAATAGAGCATATAGCAAAATGTTATTTAACCCTTTCATGACTGAGCTTTTTTCCAGTTTCCGTTCGTAAATTATAATAATTATAGTATAAAAATATAGTTATATATAATTTTTATTTTCTTAATCTTTTTTACACTTAATTTTTTTACATATAATCCTCGCTTAACGACTTACCTGCTTTGCGACCACTCGCACTTACGACCGTCCTCCGAGCGACCACCGACTTTGCACGTCAGCGTCACTGCGACGTGTCGCCGGCGGAAGTGATGTCCTCCGATCTTCGCTGTGGGTCACGGTAAGTATTCTCATTGCCCGATGTACAGTACACTGTTCGGTACTGTACATCTGCAACGCTATACAGTACTGTACTAATGCAGTACAGTACTGTATAGAGTTCCTCACTCAACAAACAATTCGTTTAACGACCTGGTCGTAGGAACGGAACTCGGTCGTTAAGTGAGGAATACCTGTACACTTATTTTGTCAATTATATCAAGCAGTCACTATGACTGCTTGATAATTTAATTAACTTTTTACATTTATGGTTAATATTAGGCTTCTCCATACTTAGGAATAAGCTAATAATAACCTTAGAGACTGATCGTGACTGCTGTCAGATTCAGATCTCACTAAAGGTTTCTGATCGTGCCCAGACGATCAGAAGTGATACATTTCAGGCACAGAGACACATAGATACATTGTAACATTGTGCCATCCCAACTGTCAAGACAAATAGCAGAGAGGTGACTCACTCTGCTACCTCTCTGCTATCTTAGCTGTCAAATACTGGATCGCTATTTAGCAATCATTGCGATCCGGTATTTGTATGTTATAGCTTCATTCTTTTGTTAATGATAATAATTACAAAAGCTTAACTATTTCATTAATGAATGCCTCAATACTGAGGCATTCATTAATTACTGGTAACTGCTGAGAATCAGCAGTTACCAGCATTACAGAGCCGCAAATAACTGGTCATGTACAGTTTACGTGGCCAGTCGTTTGGGCACTTCGTGGTGGGACATACAGTGTATGTCTCCCATCACGAAGGGGTTAATATTTCAAATCATTACCATTAAAAATAAATAAATAATCATAAAGCACTAGAAAAACGGTAGAGTTTGGAGCCATCATCTGCTTCTAAACAAGTTTTACAGGTAGTATTTATATATCTCGTAATTCTCTTGGCCTTTTTAATTTCATGAAAGAATAAAGACTTACCATATATGAGCAGATCTCAGTAATCAACCATGAGCTATGGAAAAGGGGAAACCAAAGCCTACTAAAGGAGCCACAGAGGAACAGAAAATTTTATAAAGCCATGTGATTACTGCCAACCTTGGAATTACTGCCGATTGCAGCAAATTTAAAGCTCTGTGAATTTTTTTTGTTTCTCTGCAGTGCCAATTGTAAGTGACGGTTTGATTTTTTCTGTTTTCCATTCTTCTGGCTTATGGTTATCATTAAACAGAACTACACCACAGACTTACCTCTTGTGCATTAGTGGAGTGCTAGATTGCCTCACAATTTTCCCTTGTTTACACATCACACCATTACCGGAAGCTGCCTTACGCAGGCTTCACTAGCAGGTTCAGCTGGTATTTGTGGGACTTAAGGTGCCCATACACTGGGCAAAATTTGCACAGTGTGTGGGGCTGTCGGCTTCCTTTCAGCCGGCATTCCTCGATTAGCAGTCGAGGAATGCCGGCTGTACACAAACAGTGTCAATTCCTCGATCGACACGCTGTTTGTGTTCATGGAGGAATCGCGTCAAAAAATATTATAGGTGTATGGCCAGCTTTAGCAGGAAAACTAAGAGAAAAGTGTAAGTGCAGATGTATGTATAATTAAGCACTGCAGCACATTTTTTAACAGGAGGCCATAGTTCTACCTTTGGTAGGCACCCATGTATTGCCAATTTTACGTAACCAATATATCACAACAACCCCCCAAAAAATGGATTTAAGTAGCTTTTACACAAATCAAGGGCCAGCGAATCCACAGGCAAATATAGACATAACATCAAAATGTTTAACAATTGTAAATGTTAATTACATCCAAATAAGCTATTTGTTAGAAATAAAGGCGGTAAGGATCAATACGTTACCAATATAGCTGTGAGATCTTCATAAAAAATGTGTTCATTTTGGCCCTGCATAGAAGATGTTTTGTTATTATTATTACAATACACAATTGTAATACCTGTCACAAACCTGGACCTTTCAAATTGAGCTTATAATTAAAAAAAGGCCAAACAAATATTACCTTTAGTGAAAACTGCATGTCAATCGATCATAACTATTCAAAGCTACAGAGGTATAGGTACCTGCATTTATATGCAAAGCTCCGTTTTTCCTGTAGAACCGATGCTTAGTTCTGTCTGGTTTGTTTTCCAAAGCTCTCTATTAGTAATTTAATGTAATGAGTGCTTTAACTGGCAAAGCTTAGGGGGCGAATGGGGCAGGATAATGCTAAGCTTGTACTATAATGATCAATTAGAACCACTGTATTGTTTTCTCCTCCCTTTCACCCAGGGTTTAGGAAACCCATAAAAAAGTTATGATCAAGTCACATTTGAATGATAACAAGGCTTGGAAACCTATCTTGAGCAAAAAAAGTGCTTTGGCAGAAAAGCAGTCCATGTGTCACTACTTTATTATTAGAGTTATTTAAAAGGTTTTCAAACCTGGACTGGAGTGTGTTCCATGGGCTACTATGTTAAGATGATGCACAAATTACCTATCTAAAAAAGGCTTTTCCCCCTAAGCTGGCCATACACCTATAGAGTATCTGCAGATTTTCTATAATCAGATGGAAAAATGCAACAGATTCCTCCATCTACGCTAAACTGTGTGGATGAAGGAATCTCCCACTGGGCCAAGCTTCAGTATCTTGCTAGTCGGTCCCGATGGATCTCAAAATACCTGCACAATCTAATTGGATGCAGGCATTGTACAGGGCTGGCTAGCAAGATACTAAAGCTTGGCCCAGCGGGAGATTCCTCCATCCACACAGTTTAGTGTAGATGGAGGAATCTGTTGCACTTTTTCCATCTGACCGTAGAAAATCTGCAGATAATCTATAGGTGTATGGCCAGCTTTACTCACTGGTAAGAAATCCTTCCCTTGACACCTCGTCTGCCCACATATTCAAATAATATCCAATGTAAAGTAGCCTATAGCAGTGATATATTTTAGGTTGACTGAGTCTTGCACCTTGCTGTTACATCTATAAAACAAAAATAAAAAAAAACCAAGCATGTTAAATGTAGTAAGTACAAGGTACCACCCTACATCATCCAGAGTCCCCTGGTGATAAGAAAATATTATTGTCCCCTATAACGTATATTAAAATGCTGCTTTTAAACCTCAACATTCCTAAATTTCCAATAGATGTTGTACATTACATACCTACAAATAATGTCATATTTACTACAGGGTAATATACAGTTTTATATCTGTTACACAGTTTGCATTTTCTTACTATGCAGGCTTGAAGTTTCATGTCTGTGATTAGTTTTATCGCGTCTACCTAAGGAGGAAATGAAAATAGCTTGTGATACTGTTGATATACATACAGTTTATACACAGTATATGTGTTTTTTGTACAGCGTATGTTGATTATGATTATAAAATGTTACCTTCTCCTGCATTATATGCGGACATGGACCTATCTCAGACTTACATCCCTCAAACTGCAGTCGCATAGCTATCTATTTGTCAGCATTTTTTTTAAATAATAATTTTAGCATTTGAAAAACTAAGTAACAAGTCACAGTCTTTTGTGTAAGATGATATTGGTAAGTAGTGACTGAACAATTAAGATCAGAAAGGTTTTTTATAGCATGGGCTGAGGATTTCAAAAGCAACCAACCCTCCTCACCATAATAAAATATTTTTAGGTACTGATGTCCTTTGATGAATGTATTGGTGTCATGCTTGTATGGTATTGTATTTCCATATAAAGAAAACATCCAGAAACATTCCAGCTTTAGTTTTTAAATTGTTTCAGGTTCTTAGGTATTCCTGCAAATATTACTAAATTATTTTTCAAATTAGCTAGTGTTATGTGGAGTTAGTCTATATACTGAGCCTTCAGAAGGCAGCTGACATTTAAAATCATGGATGCAGTAGAAGAGACTGCTGTGTATAATGGGGTTGGCTGATGAATAAGGTGTTATGTAGGTCGGATACAAGAAGACGGTCACTACTAGAGAGGTCACAGTCAGTAGGTATCAACAGATAAAATAGAAGGAAAAGGGTTTGAGATCCTGCATGGGTCCCAGGGAAGAGAACCTTTCTGGTCCCCCTGCCTCATCTACTAACACAATTTTCCCTATATGTTGTAGTATTATAGTATTACACAAGCTTGGTAAACAGTCCAAACCTCTGGTACAAAAACATACCCTTTACCCAATCTCTGTTGGACACACTATTATCTTTTCTATGAGCAATTTTACTTACACATGCTGCGTACATTCAAATTGCAGCTGTAACGTGCCTTTAAATAACTATTTATTAAGCATGGAGCACCCTTTTTATAGTACACACTCACCTAACAATCGTCACATCACCATGTGAGAGTACTACAGTCCAGATGTTCCACAGTTATGGGCACAAATTGCCAACTTGCAGACCTGAAAAATCTGCAGTTGAAAATTCTGGCAGTCATTTTGTCAGAGTCTGCAACCCAAATGGACATAGTAAATGCACATTTAGTGATTTGAATCAGTGTTTGCAAACACTGATTCAAAACATAAGTGCACATCAAACATAAGTGCACAAAATAGTAAAAAGAAAAAAGGGTTGTGTAGGTTGATCTTAAGAACCTGTGCTTTACTCACATAATATATCTTAAGGCAATTAAAACTGCTTCTATATGTAATGTCATACTTACTGCCAAGAGTGCAGGCACACAGCTGGGGGTAAGAGCAGGTTCTACCTAAAAACAAAAGTGAATGGTAATAGCCTTTTAAATAATTTTTTTTGACTGCTAGCCAACCCCTTAATTATTATTTAATCATGACATATTATCTGTACAGCTGGTGCTAGGCTAGGTATTGATTTCATGAGCGTAGTACTAAATCTAAGAATAAATCTAAAAAGAGACTAAGATGTTGTGAACATGATGATCAAATCTATACCTAGAGTTTCTGTCTTTGTTGTTACGATTTGTTTAACTGATGTCAGATGCAGATCAAATGTTACATCTTTGATCTACATATGGATGAAATAGTAAATACCGGGGTCTATTCACGAAGCTGCGAAGGATCTAGCCGCAGCTTCGGCCGATCCTTCGGCTAGCTTCGGCCCCAGGACCCCTTCGTTCAGTAGAACTGAAGGGGTGCTGTACGGGCTATTCAGCATACCGAGCAGAACAGCCGAGCCGAATGACGCTCAGCGGCATTCGGCTATTCACTCACTGCTGTTCGGCATCAATAAGAATAGACCAAACAGCAGTGAGTAGCATGCCGGAGGCTCGGCTCAGCCGATCCAGATGTTGGATCGGCTGCCTATGGCAGCTAAGTGAATAGACCCTCATGTAACAATACATTGTTACATTGTACTTCTCAGGGCACAAGAGATATGCCCTAGAAACTTTGTGATGTTTTTAGGGTGTACTTTCTATACCTAGGGTCTCAAGTCATGAACTAAGAAAGCAAACTACAGATGATTTGTGTTTAAAAGTTCACTTATAATATTTTCTGGCCACAAAAATAGACACTTCCAGTAAATGGTATTGCATATTTTGTATACAGGATCTAATAAGCAAGGTACACAAAGAGCAGAATTTTGTGACATTATACAATAATCAAATAGATCCGTGATCATAATTTCCACTTGCACTCTAAAACACTAAGCTGCTGTGCAAAGAGCAAAATAATCCTTTCAATAAACACTATCAACAAATGCCCAGCACTATAAATATCTGCTATCATATCAATAACAACACTTTTATAACTTAAAAATGATTAGTGTGATAAACTATAGTGTGACTGCCCTCTCGCAGGTACACACTGATGTCATCGATCAGGAATTAGGAAGTGTAGAGGCTCGGTTTGGAAGCAAGCAGACACATTGTTCTGTGTTTTTCTCTGTGGCTCTCATGAATGGCTTGGACATGGATGAGATGCGATCATAATGCGATGCCAAAGCAGCCTATTTTGTAAATGTTTTTAAATCCTTTTTAATAAAGAGTATTTTATGGAATTACACTATGGATTTTTTAAATAATTTTTTTCTGAGTGTATGGGGAAACATGTTATAAAGGAGAGGAGGAGGAGAGATAAAATCATTATATATTGGTCAAGTGTGATTCAGTTGACTGGATTGGAATAAGAAGTTTGCATATCACGGAGCTCTTCAGGACCATTTTATATGTAATGGTCCCCTATCTGGTAATAGACCCTATCTCGTGGGTGCGGTTTATGGAAGTGGTGTCACACACGGATGGGAAGAAGTTGAACTCACAGAGGAATATATACACTCCATTTTGAAAGTACATCACACTATTGCATGCATTTTTTAATGCATATATGGACATCCATGTGATTTTGGGCTAATGAAAAGTGTTGTTATTTATATGATTGCAGATATTTATAGCACTGGACATTTGATAATAGAATTTTGTGACATGTCTGGATTAAAAATTAGAAGTTGCAGAAAACCGGTGATCTGAAAGATATGTAAAATATGTATTTGTTGTTCGCGTAATATATTTTCCATGTTGGTTCAACTGTGAATTTACCACATAATGATACTTCATTGGCTCTTGTCTCCACTGTATATATTTTTTTGTACTATATTTTTTAAGTTCCATTGGTACAAAACAATATCAGTTGTTAAAAATTATCAAGTGCAGTATAGTTTATATAGGGGTAAATGTAGGTATTAATAAATAAATATGTACAATATTAACATAAGCATTCAGTAATATTTTATCATACCACTTTACAGAGAGTATTCATAAGTAGCGGAGAAAGACCAGCTTTATCCTGAAATACATATAACAATTAAAATACATTATATGTTTTATTGTGTTGTGAGTAAGAATTTAACCAGTTTACTACATACACTTTACAGCTCAGATATGCGACCAGTGAATACATAAAACATTGAGAAATGAGCCATAGTTAGCAGCAGTCCATCCTAATTACTTTTCCGTGTGCTATCACTGTGCATCATGTGAACTTAAAGCTGTTCCAGGCATGTTGGTTTTGAGCAGCAATTATACAAGCATGTCATTATTTAATAGAGATTTTTTTTTTGTAATTGCTGGTACCTGAAAGTACACCCGTGCCCAGACTTTGCACATTAAATTGGTTTATGATGTGATTTTTTTCTTTTTTCCTCTTTCTACACTCAGCAGAGCAAGCTCACAGAGTCTGACTTGAACCCTTTCATCAGAGCCCATAGAGTACCCTTCTTACCTCAGAGTTTAATTCATCAATACTCTTATCCATAGTATGGGCACATGTGTACTTTAAATGTTTTTTTGTTAACAACAGTGCTGAAGCGCTTGCAAATACCAGCTTTAGGGGTCCATTTAAAAAGCTGTGGAGTTGCTGTAAGACCAAAGCTGAATTTAGGGCCTTTGGTTCCTGGATAAGGCAAGATGAAGCCATCACTAAGCCCAACTGCTGTCATTTTGCTGTCAAATGTCAAAACCTCAACTGTCCACTTACGAAGCTGGATTCTAGAGAGACACAGGGAGGGATTTGCAGGCTGCATTTCTATTAAATATATACCACAATTACTTGATTTTGCTATATTCTTATACATTTTTTAGGAAATTGCTGAATAAATGCCATTTTTCTTATGTCAGCCCCAATTAGCTCAATAAAGTATTTGCATTAAAGAAAACAAAATTTAAATGTGTGTCCCTGGGATGTATTATGACCTACAAGGCATTTCTTAATAGTGATGGGCTCAATGTTCGAGCAAAGCACTGTGCCTTGTGAAGCCCTGATTGGCTAAAGACTTTGCCCAATCAGGGCCCAGTACTCTGTAAGAGCTATGACTGGATAAAGTAATGATGACTTTGCCCAATCATGGCTCACCTGTCAGATGCCCTACAACTGTAAACAGTTGTGCGGAGCTAGTTGTCACCGCTAGCTCCACCCAATTGTTTATATGTTGCCGGCATCTGTCAAAATAACATTATGCGACGGGAGTTTGTCGCGAGCGGACGAGACGGCAGTCGTCAGGTTTTATAAAAAAATATTCCTATTTATTTACTATTGTTTTATTTTTTTTTCCGTCGAGTCGTCGCCGTCATGGACAACGCTGGATATGATGATTGACCCTGGATTAAGTCGGTGGATCCATTTAAAAAAAAAAAAAAGATATGTCAAAAACTTGTTTTTTTAAATAAAGGATTTTAATCAAAAGTCTGGCCTCTTTTTTTACAATTTTATTTAACCCTTTAGTGAATGGGTAGGGGTAAGAGGGAAGAGGCCCTTGTCCCTATCGGCATGTGGACAAGGTGCTTTTCCAGGGGCAACCCTGGAAAAAGCACCCTCCCAGTGCCGAGGGCATGTGGCCTGGTATTGCAGGGGGGGACGACGCTCCCTTGATCCTAGGGGGATCATAGCCCCCCTAGGATCAAGGGTCTGGTTGAAAATTTTAGGGGGGGACCCCCGTTTTTTGGGGTTCCTCCTAAAATTCCTACCAGACTTTAAGGGTCTGGTAAGCCTTATGGGGGGAACCCCATGCTTTTTTTTTAAATGGGGTCCCTCCTAACATTCCTACCAGACCTAAAGAGTCTCGTTTTGTTTGGGAAGGGGAACTGCACACTTTTTTTTTTAAAATGTCATTTTTTTCTTAATCAATGTCATTTTTGCTGCTGCAGGTTCTATACATTGTACGGATGTGCCACTTTACAGGCAGTTTAAGGCACGATATTTAAAGTATTTTTTTATTTTTATTGTTTCACTTTCAGTGATGTTAAAATCAATGCTCCTTTAAAAACGGTAATGTAAAAAAAAAATATTTCCTCGATTCATGTCCCCCAGGGCAGTACCCGAATCACCATACCCTTTTTATGGCCAATAAATTGCATACAGGGCTTCAAAATGGGGACATTGCATTGAGTTTGAGTTCAAACTTTTTCCATGTTCTAAAGTTCGAATTCGAACTGAACAGGGAGGTGTTCAGCTCATCACTAATCCTTAATACAAATAATCAAACACATAAAACACAAACAAAACTTTAAATTGGTTAAAAAAAATACCACTGCAATATTTTATAAACTAAATTTAGTTAAACATTTCCCCCAAAAATCCTTGTGACAATACAACAGTCTAAAGAAAAGTACACCGAAAAACCTAACTCAATGTGTAACTATTTGTAACTCCATTTTTATAATTCAATAAAGGTAGACACATAATTTAGGATATATGGACATGATCTGTCCATACCATTATCTCTACCCTATAATGCTTTTTTTAAAGCAAAGCTGGAGAAATGAAATGTTGTTCTGTATGCAAAATGCAAGATCAATCCCCACTAAGCAAACCATAAATGGATGGAACAAAAGGAAAACTTACCAAAATTGGTCTAAGAAGCTCAATTAGTGTTGCAACAAGTTCAGCAGTAGGTGTACCAAGTTGTTTCTAAATTAGGATTAAGGTAAAAAAGTAAAAACAGCAAGTAGTTTACTTTAAAAAAATGTAAGATGCACTAAAATACATTTTAAGATAGGAAGATAATAATATAATAGTAATAATACAAAGCACCTTTTATTGTTACATTCAGTTTGGGTGTAATTATCATCACTAGCAGCCTAACAGTCATATAGCTTATCACCCACTGATCGCCAATGATCAGTGAACATTTTTGAGTTGTCTGGTTTAGAAGATCTGCTATTGTGGATAAGTCAACCCACGCAAAACAAGACAACACTATTAATAAATCATATTTATTGATCTAAATAGCTAACTATAACAATCATAATACAGCCCCAATTCCCAAAAAGTTGAGACACTGACCCTGGACCATTGAGCAGGTAGTATGCTACATCAGGCAAGAATGGGACAACATTCCTCTCCCAAAAGACCAGCAACTGGTCTCTTCAGTTCCCAGATGTTTACAGAGTGTTGATAAAAGAAGAGGGCATGCCACGCCCTAGTAAACATGATCCTGTTTCAACTTTTTGAGATGTGTTGCTGCCATCAATTAAAAAAATTACCTTTTTTAAACATTTGATATGTTTTCTACTTTCTATTGTGGATAAAATATTGGTTTATGAGATTAGCAAATCATTGCATTCTGTTTATATGTAGATTTTACACAGCGTCCCAATTTGGGTTGCATAATAATTAATTATGAATGATAGAAATGGGTATAGTTTTTTTCTTAGAGAAAAATATTGTACTTTGTGAACATAGCTTTTGTGTCATAATACAGAACCATCAGTTTTTTTTCCCCAGTGATATCTATTGAACTGAAAACATTTCTATGGTAAATACACAATAGGTTGCAGGCAGAGATACATGATTAGCGCATCCAAGTTTGAAATTTGACCTGAATGTGGCAGATTTGTCAAGCATGAGATTTACAAACATTACTCAATCTGCCACTCATTTACAAGTATTTCATACTTTTTGCTCGTTTGGCGCCACAATACATCGTAGATGCGTGCCGTGAAGCACGCATGCGCGCACCTATGACGTATTGTGGCGCCAAACGGGCTATTTAAGCTCAGCCCCTACATGTCTCCAGTGCTGAGTACTCTTCAGCTTTGTGCCTTGTATTCCTGTGCCTGTTTCCTGTCGTGTTGTTTCTTGTTGCTGACCCCGGCTTGCTCCTGACTCTGCTGATCATCCGGTATCCTGACCCTGGCATGTCTGACGATTCTCCTGCTTCCTGCCGGTTCCTGCATTGACCGCATGTTACCGAACCCGGCCTGTGACCCGACTATGAGTTTGTCTCTTGCTGCACTACCTTCCTGCCTGCACGTTGCCAACCCAGTCTGCCTGACTTCGAGTATGTTCAGTCTGCCTCCTTGCTGTGCATTTTTACTGCATTGCACAGCAAAGCAGCTAACGGAGTTAAATCTCACACCCAAGTCTTCATCCGGCACTCATGCCCCGCTGTGCCCCAGAGTACCTGTATTTACTATCAGGCTTTCTGGGACCAGAGTTGCAAGAGAGGCTGCCCTCGTCATCTCAAGCTCCAACGGGTACGTGACAGTAGTACTCAGCCATCCGGGGCTTAAAAGGGCGGTTTTCTTTATCATGGAGGAACTCTGTCAGCAAATTTCGTCCCTTACAAAAGCAGTCAAGGGTCTACAAGAAGGTTACTTTCAGCTGGAAGGACACCTGGAGGCTCTGGCACACACTCCAGCGGCCGGAGCCGCTCCACCTCTCGGTCCCGCACCTGTTGTCAAAGCACCAACCCCTGCAGTCTCAACTCCTGCACCAGAACCTCAGATCCCCACTCCTGAACGTTTCTTTGGAGATTGCAGTAAGTTCCGGGCATTTATAAACGCATGCAAATTGTGCTTTATGCTTCAACCCAGGACTTTTGCTTCTGAAACCGCAAGAGTGGGATATATAATTTCATTCTTGCAAGGGGAACTTCAAGCTTGGGCCCATTTCATACGGGCTTCCTGACACAGACCCTTTAGGTCTGTTAGGAATTTTAGGGGGGAACTCAACGCCAAAAAAACTAAAAAATGAGTGGGGTCCCCCCTAAAATCCCTTATCAGATCTTTGATCTGAGCAGCAGCCTGGCAGAGCAAGAAAAGGGAGAATGAGCGTGCGCACCACCTCCTGCACCATACCAGGCCAGATGCCATTGACATGGGGAGGGTGCTTTGCCAGGGGGGGCCAGGGTTGTGGGGGTCTGCGGGCAGGGAGACTTTTCTGATAATGGGTGCCCCTTTCAGAAAGGGGGTATCCATATGCCACCCCCCCTCGTGAATGAGTAAGGAGTAGTTTTTACCCCCTACTCATTCACTAAATAAACTTAGATTGTAAAAAAGCCTGACGAAGGGGACCCTGTGTGGCCCCGAAAGCGCTTGCCAATGAGAGACAGCATCTGTCAATAAATGAGCATCTAATTGATGTCATTATCGTTGTTGGAGTGCTGGTGACGTCTTTCTTTTTGTTTACATTTAGCCAGGCCTGAACACCCCCCAGTTCCTGAGCTTGCTTGGGGTCCTTTATTGTCATGGGTGGTTACATTGACCATTGTGGAGGCTTGAGAGTTAAGAAAGGAGGGGAAAATCTCACATTTTACAGTAGAGTTTTGGACCTCTTTAACATTTTGGCAAGCACTTTTCTCTGAAGGTTATTTCTGCTTATGCATTTTTTTATGGGGGGACTTGCTAAGGTTTATTTTTATATTTACTCTAGGAATGTTAGGAGCAGCATTTGATTGCCCAGGTGGCATAAAACTAAAAGAAACCAACATCCTGTGAATATTAAAGGTTATGGTATAGTTTCAAAATGACAGTAAAGCCATGCATCAATTAAATTGATCAACACAATGTGTGTGTGTTTGAGGCACTGGTTTGTATTATTGATGGACCTGCCCTACTGAAAGCCAGTTAGGCAGGTTTATTCCATTTTCCAGTGCTAAGGCAATGCTAGGTATTACAAGTTTTTTTTAAACTTAAGCTTAATTTGTGTGTAGATGTTTGTGTGCATGTATGGTGGGGTCTTTGTTTTGTTAAATTAAAAATTTAGTAGGAGGTATGTAGTTTGTTTTATTACTATGACTCTTTGGATCACCATGTTCCTTATGATGGCACCACAAAGAATATTAACAGCTTCCAAAATTGATGTAAGATATTCTAGGTCAGTAACACACAGGCTATTCATTGCAGTACTAATGCATACTTTAGATGCTAAATACTATGAGGCATAAATGAAACAAAATTGTGTGTAGATGTAGGCGTGCAGATGGTAGGGCCTTTGTTTGATTACATTAAATATTCATATGCAGGAGGTATGTAGTTAGTGTTTTAGGTATAATTAGCATGACTCCTTAGATCATCTTGTTCCTTATGATGACACCGGAAAATCAAGTACAAATATTGTGTTTCCAAAGTCAACTGTTAAGATTGCTCTAGGACTTCCTAAGTTAATGAATCATTCACTTATTAGTAGCGATTCACCCATAACGATACCAGTATTGGTATCGGTGCTGACACTAGGCATATTCATGAGCACTTGTGATACTAAGCGCTGATATCGGCGCTTTACATTTTTAAACAGGAACAGCTGCCGTGAGGTCCCGTGCTTGCTGGAGACTTCAGGGCAGTCTTGCTGGGGACCTGCAGTGGCTGTTTTGTGGTGAGACCCACATACAGCCCTGGTGAGATAGCACAGCCCTGGTGAAACTGAACAGCCCTGGTGAGACCCACACACAGCCCTGGTGAGACCCGCATGCAGCCCTGGTGAGACCTCACCCAGCCCTGGTGAGACCCGCATCCAGCCCTGGTGAGACCCGCATGCAGCCCTGGTAAGAGCGCACAACCCTGCTAACTATCCTCAGGCCTGCTGGCCCTTACCTTTCCTTTGTTAACATCTGTATTATGTTGTATGTTTTTTGTCAAAGTGAACTTGTTAGTTTACCTTTTTGTACGGTATTTGAAACCTTAATAAACTCAGATTGAACTAAATATATGGCAGACCTAGTTAAGTTTCCTGCACAATCGGGAAAAAGACAGGTTTAATGTATATAAGAATGCAAGTAGCTCATTTCAAAATATACCACAGTGGTTGACGGTAGCCGGGGTTCAACATAGACTTGAAAAACTTAATGAAAATAAAGCATTAGGACCAGATAACCTGCACCCCAAGGTACTTAAAGAACTCAGTCAGGTTATTATTCCTCACTTTCAAGGACTCCTTAATGACTGGTAGAGTACCAAGTGACTGGCGGAAAGCTACGGTAGTACTGATATTCAAAAAAGGGTCAAGATGCCATCCTGGGAACTACAGACCAGTCAGTCTAACATCAATAGTATGCAAACTGTTAGAGGGAATGATAAATGACTACTTAGAGTTTGTTCATAAAAATGGTACAATAAATGATAATCAGCACAGATTTAGGAAGGACCGTTCCTGCCAGACCAACCTACTGACATTCTACAAAGCGGTGAGTAGAGATCTGGATGGAGGGAGGTCGGTGGATGTGGTATATCTGGATTTTTCGAAAGCATTTGACACAGTACCACATAAACGCTTACTATACAAGCTGAGGTCTATGGGCATAGATGAAATGGTGAGTACAATGACAGAAAATTTGCTACAGGAACGTGTCCAGAGAGTATCTTTAAATGACTCCTTTTCAGATTGGTCAAGTGTCAGGAGTGACATTCCTCAGGGTTCTGTGCTAGGCCCATATTATTCAACCTGTTTATTAACAATATCGAGGAGGGCGTGAATAGCCATGTTTCCGTGTTTGCTAATGATACTAAAATCGGGAGGGTAATAGACACGGACTTAGACCCTATAACATTACAGGAGGACCTGGATAAAATAGGGGAGTGGGCAACTATATGGCAGATGAGGTTTAATGTCGATAAATGTAAAGTAATGCACTTTGGGGTTAAAAATAGGCAAGCGGAATACATATTAATGGGTACTCCTCTAGAGAAGTCGGAAAAGGAAAAAGATCTGGGGGTCATTGTAGACCACAGATTGAATAATAGCTTGCAATGCCGGGCTGCTGTAAACAAAGTAAGCAGAGTTCTGTCTTGTATTAAAAAGGGAATTTACTGTAGAGACAAATCTATAATTTTGCCACTTTATAGAACGCTGGATCGACCTCATCTGGAGTATGCGGTGCAGTTTTGGTCACCAATACACAGAAAGGATGTCCAGGAGCTGGGGAGAGTCCAGAGAGGGGCAACTAAACTAATTAAGGGGATGGATGACCAAAGCTATGAGACAAGTTACTAAACTTAAACATGTTCACGCTGGAGGTGCGGAGATTAAGGGGGGACATGATTTTGATGTACAAGATGTTCAATGGTGATAGCAACATCAGCAATAAACCTTTCACGGTAAACTCCATAACAAAGACTAGAGGCCACCACCTAAAACTGGTGGAGAAAAGATTTAAGCACAAAGGGCGTAGGGGATTCTTTTCAGTTAGAGTGGTTAAGGTCTGGAACTCTCTGCCACAAGCAGTGGTAT